CAGTCTTCAGCTGCTAGGCCCAAGACAGTCAACAGCGGGTCAGGGGGTGGAGAAGTTGGCCCCCCGTGTCTTGGCACAGAGGGACAATCACTTTTCCAATGTCCCATATGACCACATGCCGGACAGGGTCTGGAAGGCTGTCGTGGGTGCGGGCAGTGTTTGGCCCAGTGGCCTTCCTTCCCGCATTTGAAGCAGGGTCCAGGTGGTGTAGTGTTTCTGGAAGGTTGAGTAGGTGCTGGCTGCCACCAAGGCTTGGGCTTGTAAATTGGCCTTCTGGTGAGTAAGAGATTCCCTCTCTGCTTCAGCCCGTTCCTCCCGAGTGTTAAAGACTTTAAAGGCCATATTCACCAGGTCTCGCATGGGAGTCTGGGGGCCCTCCTCTGCCTTTTTCAGTTTCTTTCTAATATCTGGGGCAGATTGAGTGATAAAGTGGGTAGCTAAAATAGTAGCTCCTGCCGGGGAGGTTGGGGCTAAGTGAGTATGTTGTAAAAGGGCCTCAGTTAGGCGATTAAGAAAAGTTGCTGGTTTTTCGTTAGAAAGTTGAGTAATTTCTTACCGTTTATCAAAGTTAACAGCTTTGTGTGAAATAGCCTGTAGGCCTGCTAGGAGGCACTGGAGCATTTTGTCTCTGCGGGTGCAGTCACGGCACCCAGATTGGGTATCTAGTTGGTATTCCCATCCAAGGTCCTGTCCAGGAACAACCTCTAGACCCACTGGCATGGTAGGGTTAGTTAAATGAGTTTGATCAGCATGTTCCCGAGCAGCTTCAAGAACCCGCTCCCTTTCATCAGAGTTTAAAGTGGAAGAAAGAATGACATAGATAACATGCCAAGTTAAATCATAAGCTTGTGTGAGATAATGAAATTCTTTGATGTATGTGGTGGGGTCATTGGAAAAAGAGCCTAAACGCTTTTCAATTTGAGATAAGTCAGTAAGAGAGAATGGGACATGAACATGGACAATGCCTTCCAAACCAGCCACTTCGTGTAAGGGACAAAGAAGGGTTTGTTGAGAACGAGTGTGGCTGCTTACTAGAGAAGGCAAGGAGGGCTCCTGGGAGGTGGTGTCAGGGGATGTCGGTGGAGATGTGGGTGGGGGTGGTGGAGAGGGTGCAGTGGGGTTAACAGGAGGTGAAGATGAGAGTGTCTGTTCTGGATAAGGGGGTGATCGGTGGGGTGGGGACGAAAGAGATTCAGGTGGATCAGAAAAGTAGGAAGTTGGTTCAGGAGAAGTAAGAGGAGTTGAAGAGTCCTTAGAGGGGGTTTGAACAGGAGTTTCACGAGCTAGGAGAATTTGGGTGGTATTGCAAGTAGGGCAGAGAGAGGGATGGGAGCACAGGTGAAAGAAAGCTTGGACATAGGGGACCTCCGGCCATTTGCCTGTGTGTCGGCAGAAATTATCGAGATCAGTAAGAATATTAAAATTGAAAGTTCCTTGCTCAGGCCACCGAGAATTACTACTTAGTGGGTATTGGGGCCAAGCAGTAGTACAATAGAAAATTAGGCATTTGGAACGTAAGTCCCGAGCCAGCCCCAGGGCACAAAGATTGAGTAGGAGACACCCCAGAGGAGTAGTTGGGCCTGGTTTAGAATTCTGGTTATCCATGATCCCTTAAGTCCTGATGGAAAGATTCTGTCAAAGGACCAGCGTCCCAGCCGCTTTGCCAGAATCCCAGAAATGGAGACTGGAAGAAAACAGTGGACATCTCTGCCATAGTCTTCAGTCTGGAATAGTTATGCCATGGAAAGACGGAACCCAAGGCATCCCCAGGATGCCTCTGTCTTTGGAACGGGAGAGTCTCTGATGCGGCGCCAGCAATTTCTGGAATGAAAGGGACAGAGACTCTGGTATAGGAACCGGGACTTGGGACCTGAGTGCCCAGAGCGGGGGACTTACCCACTCAACTCAGTGTTGAGTGCTGGTGGCCAGAGGTTCCTGGTCCGTTGAGTAGGAGAAAAAGAAGAAGGAGGAGAAGGGAAGGGGGATTGCAGCAGAGATTACCAGCACCACAGGTCCCTCTCCCTCCTCCCGGGTTTCAGCACAAGATGTAAGGTTGCTTTGCTGGTCCAATAGAGCCTGGTGGAACCACTGAGACTATGACCCCTAGCTGCCCTTCAGGTCTGGAATTGAACCCACACCTGTGGTTTCCAGCCAAACAAAGTACAGGCATGTGAGTTAAACATTTACCTCAAGTAGAC